ACCCAGTGTCACCTAACAAGCAATGTTAAAAATACTCCCCTGTTGTAAAAAATGAAAAACAAGATCTTTCTTGGAAAATTGTATGATTTGTGATTTCCTACACCCAAAAAAGAAAAAAAAAAAGTATTAAAAAGACATTACCTGAAATAAATAAATTAAATCAACAACAATTTTCCTGGTGCTCTTTTGTAGATATAACAATTAGCACAATGGCTCTTCATTGTCATCCTGTTCCTGTGTTTAAAAGTAGGGACGTTTCTGAAGAGTCTGGTCCTCAGTGTGATACTTCTGGGCTGCATTTTTTCATTATTAAGGATCAGGGCCCTGATGCCTTCAAAAAGAGCAAACTGTTTAAAAATTTAAAACTGTCTTCAGTATTTACCTCAGATCATGGAACTTTTCCAGATATTTCTTTCCTTGTAAGCATCAGGGCTCAAGCTTCCTATTTTTCCACCTCCTAAGCCAAAATTCTGGTAGCAATGACTCCTTTAACTGGGTTTTCAGTGGAATAAACATGTAACACAATGAAACAACCAGTGACTTCATAATTTGGGGAATTACATTTAAAAGGGATTTTTTTTTTTCCTTTGGAAACCTTTTACAAAAGATTCTGAAAACAAGTTGCAAAGGAGACTGTAACTTTCCTGATCGTGAACATCAGTGTCATTTGTTTCCCTTCTCTCCAGAAAGTACCCTTGTTTTGTGTCCTATGTCCTTTGTCACAGGAACTACTTTTCAGGAGTTTGAGATTTCTTTTTTTTTTTCTTTTTTTTTCTTTTTTTTTTACAGACAGGTTTTACAGATGAGTATCCTTGTAGCAAACATTGGAATCCAGAGAACAGAGAAATCCCCACCTATTTGTGATTAATTCCCTGCAGTCTGGAATAGTTCCTAATGTCTAACAGATCTGTGGCAAAAGCCAAATGTCATTTCACAACAGAGCCCCGCCCTGGGCCACAAAGTGGTTCTCAGCTGAGATCAAGTTTGTAAGCCCCAGGTCCACATTCCACATCTGATTAAAGCAGATACATGGGAGGTGTGAATGGGACTGGCCAGATGCTGCACCATATGATAAACACCAAGGGCCATGGCACCCTATAAAACTGGCCATTTATATGGTACAGCTGGCTGTGCATAATCTTCTCCTGATTTATAAGGCTGGAGCATCTGGTTCATTGCTGCTGCTCTGTCAGCTTTTCTGGAGGCCTGTTCTTGAATTTCTGGTGGCTGAATATTGCTCTTCTGAGTGCCAGTGGAATGGGAAGTTAAATCCATTTGTAGCAGGAGATCAGCTCTTATTCTCTCTGGCAAATCAGATATGTTCAAACAAAGTCATGAAAGACAGAAGGGTAAGCCCTCGTGGGATGGGTTCCACTTCACAACAAAATCCTCAACTGCAAACTCTAAAAGAATAATATCTATTTCTCATTGGAGGACCTTCAGATGAGGCCTGTGACAGGCTGTGGCCATCACTGCAGACATCCCTTAGCAATGTGGCCGGTGAGAGTTCACAGAATTGGTCTCAAGTCCTGCTTTTGTTACTGCTTGATCTTTCCCTCCCAGTGCCATGGCCCTAGAAGTCAGCATTTCTCTCTTTCCTGAAACAGAAGTTGGCACTTGGCACTTGGTTAGAAAATACCTATTGTGTAAGTGACTAAAAAAACAAGAGACAAGTGTTCTCAGCTGGGTCTTGAAAACTTTTTGCAAGGAGGAGCCAAACCAACAATGTGAAAGCATCCTGAACTGAGTGGTGTGCACATGCACAGCCCCCTGTGCTGCTGTGTGCCAGCTTGGGCAGTTCCAGAGGCGTGGACCCACAGCAGATGGTTTGCCTGTGCCAGGAGGAGAAAGAGAAAGGAGGGCTAGAACTCATTCTTCCAGGTATTTCCAAACTGATCTGTCAGCAGGAAAGTCCCAGTTACAGTTAAGAGAACTCTTTCTCCATTCCACCCTTGTGGAGTGGTAAACAGCAGTGCAGCATGCAGTCTAAGGCACAATAAGCTGGTTTTTGAAGTTACAGCATTACCAAGTCTATCTAGAAGCTGTGAGTGCAGATCACTCAGCCTTAGGGGGGGAAAAAATACAGCACCAGTCATTCTATCAAACCCTTCTCCAGTAAAATTACATATCAGAGCAGCACTGAAAGAAAATTTACATTTCAAAGGGAAAGGGAAAATGTGCTTTTGCAGAACATCATGGGGTTGGCAGTAATAAATCATGGTACTGTCAGAATGGAAGTGGGTTCCTGCAACTCTTGCACTGCTTTCTGTAACCTCTGTTGTTGCTGAGGAAGTGAAATTTGGTTAGCCCACAACTTAGCACACAACTGTGTGCAAGACTTCTTCAGATCTTTTATTGCTTTTCCCAGCATTCATGCTTCACATTTTTCATAATTTTATCAAATTGAGAAAATTTCAGGTTTCAAATATCTTCACAGACCCTTAACATGGCAGCTGCTCTATTTCTAGCTAGGTCTGGATGCTTCAGGTACACGCCTATGGCTCTGCCTCTTCTTTTCTCTCTCTCTCTCTCTCTCTTTTTTTTTTTTTTTTTTTAATGTTCTCCATAAAACAAACAACTTCTCTGTAAAAGCTTTATCCTCTGCATCAGACATAGGTACAGTATCTGGAATTGTCAGAATCTGTTCTCTGATAAAGCTTTATCTTTGTTTAATGATGGCGACATGAGCTGCCTGCCCTAAGGAAGTAAATGAATTTCAGAAAGAACTTCAATTACTACAGATACTGTTTTCAGGCTGTGATAACCCACTGCTGAAATGCCAGATAGACTATTTCTTAATTGTTTGCCTGGACAGTTTTTCTGGCCAGTGCAAGGCAGCAGGATCTCACACTTGTCTTGGCACCAGGTGTTGCACAGCGATTTAAAGGCTTGATTCTCAAAAATATCTCACCTAAGTAAAGAAACTATGGGATATGAGTGGGCAAAGCAACTGGAAGAACTGAGAGAGGAGCAAAAAGGGAAATGTGGTGAAAGAAACCTGTGGTTTTATGGACTAGATGTGGGGATATGGCTGGATGTCTGCAAACCTAGTTGTTCAAAGATATCATGTATTATAATCAGGTGTGGAAATATTTATTGTGTAACAACCTCTTTCATTCTGTTAAATGCAAGAGTGACCAGCATTAACTTCCTTAAACACAGCCTCTTCCCAAATGCCTACTGCCATCATCCTGAAGCAGCTCTCAGCTCTGATGCCGCCAGGGGAGGTGCTAGTGACAGACCATGAAAAATGCTTTGAATTTGGCTTCAGAGAACGCAATGTCTGTTACCTTAACTGAATTTATCCACCTTTGTGTACTTGAATTAAGGGAAAAGTGGATAATAATAATGTAGCTGGGACCTCCATTTTTCCCATGGCTTTCTTTGCCCTTTTATGTCTGTGCCACTCTCACCTCCTCTAATTTAATCTGCAATTACAGAACATAGTTAAGTACCAAGATTCTCATTATTTACAGACCTTGCAGATCTGCAAAAGCTATTTCACCTCTCCCTCCTGGCGTGGCTTAGTGAGTCGCTACCCAGACCTTGCCCAAGCAATTTTTTCCCTTGTATGATTAAGGGCTAAAATAATCAGAAATCCCAGATAATGGTCAGCATTCAGTCACCATTTATTGTGAAATGGCTTAAATAGAGGTCACAGAATACAGAATTAGGTCTGAAGGGGACCTCTGGAAATCATGAAGTCCATCCCCTCTGTCCCGGCAGGGCTACCTAGAGGTGACACAGGAACGTGTCCAAGTGGGTTAGAATGTCTCCAGAGAGGAAAACTCCATTACCTCCTTGGGCAGCCTGTTCCAGTGCTCTGCCACCCTCAATGTAAGGAAGCTTGCCCTCCTGCTGAGGTGAAAGTTCTTGTATTTTAGCCTATGGCCTTTGCTCCTCATCCTGTCACTGGGCACCACTGACAACAATCTGGCACCATCCTCTGGGCACCCACCTTTGAGATATTTACATGCATTAATGAGATCCCTTCTGTCTTCTCTCCTCTAAACTATCAGACTCAACCCCCACAGATACTTCTTACAAAAGAGATGCTCCAGAGCCCCCATCATCTTTGTGGTTCCCCACTGGGCCCTCTCCGGTCACATCTTGTCTTTCTTGTACTGAGGAGCCCAGAAGTGGACACAGCACTCCAGGTGTGCCCTCCCGAGGTCAGGACCTTCTCCCTTGACCTGCTGGCCACACTATTCCCAATGCACCTCAGGATCCACTGGCCCTGCTGGCCACAAGGGCAGTGCCAGCTCATGGGCATCCACCAACACTCCCAGGTTCTTCTCTGCCAAGCTGCTCTCCAGGAGGTCAGTCTCCAGCCTGTGCTGGCACTTGGGGTTATTCCTCCTCGTCTGCAGGGCCCTACACTTGGCCTTGCTGAACTTCATTCAGTTTCTCTCCACCCAATTTTCCAGCCTATCAGGGTCCCACTGAAAGACAGCACAGCCTTCTGGTTTATCAGCCACTCCCCACAGTTCTGTTTCAAACTTGCTGAGGGTCTCTTTCCTTCAACTGTCTTTCACTGAATGGAAGAGAGGATTTTTCCTGTTTTAGTTCACATTAATCCCTGACTAATCACATACTGGTTTCACTGTCAGAAATATTGTGTTGAGGGTCCTACAAAGACACTCTGAGCATGGAGTTACTCCTGCATTGCACATTTCTTATTTTAAAGGAAGGACACCTTTTTAATTTTCAGTTGTGATCATGTAGAAAACATAAAATATCTGAAACTTCTATTTCATAGATAGTATTTTAATTTCAAGATGTAAAACACAAAACCCCTAGAAGCAATCTTAAGGATACTTCCACAAAGACATTTTTAATGGTTTCATTTTTATATTGAAAGTCTGTTACCTAGGAAAATGCAAATATATACCATCATGAATTGTAATATGGGACATACAAAGACTCCTTCATGTAGCATAAAAGGATTGTGATCAAATAATCAAATAATTTAATGCAGCAAAGGTTAGTTTAAAAAGTATCCAAGTATGTATTCCAGACATAGACAGCAGATGTTGATTTACAGCTGGACCTGTGATGGAAGGCATCTTCTGCCATTATCCCTGTAATGGGGAAAAGAAAGAGAATTGCTGCTGGCATGTGCATTTAAGCTTGGTGGTATTAAACTGAACTGACATTCAACACATGCCCTTCACCTGCATCTGTCCTGTCCCTCTGCAAGTTGTTTGGAAGTCCAGCTCTAACCAGCTCTTTACAGTACAGGGCAGGCAAGGAAAAAATGCAGGAAAGTCCCCTAGGAAGTGACTCCCTCCTTAGCCTAAACCCACTGACCAAAACTCGAGAGACACCAATGATATGCTCATATTATGCAGAAGAAAGGAGAACTTCTATGGTTTTAGGGTACAGAACTGAGAACAGAAGCCCAAGTTAAAACTGATACTTTTCCAGTTTTCCTCTGTTACCCCAAATCTGAGCTTGGTAAGGCCAATTCCAATGAAGTCAAGTTTGGGTTAGGTCTTTGTACTCTCTGTGCCTTTGTACCTGCAAGGCAGGATTGATAGCAAATCTTTTGGCTAGGGATATGACATGTGACAATAGCCTAGTGATTGATGTAAGTAAAAAAACCAGATTTTTCATATCAGCTAGTGGAGATAATTCTTGCATTTTGGCCCGTGGGAACTCATGACATTTGATAACTGATTTCTTTTTAGAAACACTACACTGAAGAGTGTCCATGAAAAGGGGAGAGGCTCATTTTAGTTATTCCATCATATCAATTCCTGAGCAGAAAAGGCTGGCAGAGCCTATAGGAGAATTGCATGTTAATAAAGTTGGAGGTCACTCATTTTTCTAGTTAATTATTACTTGACAGAAATGCATTTATGAAAGCCATACTACGTATAACTATTTAACTATAGTATGTACAGCTACTTAAAGCAAGGGAAGAAGCAGATATTTCTGAGGCCAGTGCCAGCATGCAAATAATTATCTATCCCATTCCTATAATCATCTTGGCCTTATCATTCTTACCTGGTGTGCATCTGAGATTATGTAAGTATTCCAGCTAATATTGTCATGTGGGATGGCAGTTTCTATGCCACACTTTTTTCTCTACTTTTGGAGAATACCTGTCTTTGGTGAGAGGAAAGATCTTGACTTCCAGAGTCATCTCCAGTTTCAGACAGTGACTTACCTGTCTCAGAGGTGCAGCCCTGTCACTGCAGCACGGTACATTGCCTGCTGCTGTAGGCGCTGCTGTGGTCCAGCATTGGCATGTACATTTTAGCCACGATGCAGTAGCTGACTCCAGGCCTCAAATCTTCTATTTTAATAACCTTGTCTTTCCCTTCATACACCAGGACCCTGTGTTGCTTCATACAGAGAAAGAAGAGCCAGTCAAGCACATTTCCCTAGCAAGTGTGTCTGAGAGTAAAGTTCAATGAGAACAGAGGATGCAGAACAGCACATGAACTTACACAAACTCAGCAGCATTAATAACTTATTTATGCTTTTAAAATAAAATTCCCTTCCCCCTCCCCCCCCCCCCCCCCCCCCAGATTTCTCTCCAGTACCAATTTTCTAAACTAGGTAATGGATTATGAAGTATTAAGTTGATGGAAAATAATACAGGCAGGAATTACAAATCAATTAAATCAAATTCAATTCCTGAAAAATAAGCCTACTTGGTTTTCAAACATTTGCACAGTCATTGCTGTTCTCACAATCCCAGAAGACTCAACAGCAAAACAAATATGGTGTGCCCACACTTTTCTGGCTATTCAATGGTAAAGAGTTCATATCTGAATATACTCTTACCTCATCTAGCAAGTTGTTAATTATGAAGACTTGATACAGCAGATCATAATAGTTTGTCATTGGTATTTTGCTGCCTCTCTTCCTTCTATAAGGAGAACGTGGAGCCTGGAGTTTTACTGTTATGGATTTGTTGCTATGAACCACAGTGACCATTGGAGGTCCTATCATAGCTATGGAAAAAAACCCAAAGCTATAAACACAATTATAGGTTATGAATAATATTTCCAAGAATGCAATTTGTATCCTTTCAACAAATGCTCATGTTACCAACAGTATATTATGGTGTACTTACTCCTCAAGTGACACTTTGTAAATTCTTGCTTCTTGGTGTTTATTGGGTTTGGTTATTGTTATTTTGGATGTGACATTTCCTGTGTTTGTAAATCTATCTTTGAGACAAACTTTTTGAAATTCCTTAGAGCCGATGTTGCTATGTGCTGACTGGTCAAGAAAAATTCCAAAATTGCCCTGATTTTCTTTTTCCCTCATATTTGTCTTTGTGCTTTCTGCACAAAACATCCATTTAAACCATTTCAGCTGTGCCAAGGATGCAGTTTATGTCATCACTTTCAAATATTTTGGAATCAGCTTGGTTAAACACAGCTAAGGCTTGAAGCCAGTGCCTGCATAGATGTGTGTGCAGCACCAGCAGTGTGGGGACACGGGGCAGCAGCTGCCACACTAATCCCTCCAAGAGGAGGAGGAGGTGGCGCAGGGCAAGATGTTCTGGTTTTGCTGCAAGGTACTTCATATCAAAGCTTGTGGTTTCATCTGTGCAGGAGGCTCAAGGTAATTTGCACTTTGGGGTTGTGGAGTGACCCACGCTGGCAATTTGATTTTGCATTGGCCAGTGAGGGAAAACAGGTTAATTCATGGTGAACTTACTGGTAGGTAGACTGCTATTGTTCATTGTGGGCAGTCCTCCATTTCTAACATACTGTGGCACTGTAATGACAGTGCTAACCAAAAGCTTTGCACGTGTCCTTTCTATGTCCTTTCCTGCAGTCGGGATAGCACATAAAGGTGACAAGAATAGTGGCCACACACCACACAGCTCTGTTCTCTCTTCTCCCCACAAAGAAAAAATACTTCCTTTTTTATTGTCTTGAGTCCTGTCTTTCCAGCAGCTCCAAAAATGCCTGAAAATTATTTGTGTACTTCCATGCCCAGAGGAAGAGATTGAATTAAAGGGATTTTTTGATCTTCTAATTACTGGTAAATGGCTATTTAGCCATAATCGCTATTACTCACTTCTTTACACACAGCTTTGTGGCTAGAAAAGGATAACTCATGTTTGCAAGTTGTGAGCAGCAATGATGTGTTCCATGCCATGGAAGACCAAACTCCTTCCAGGAAAGTGTTTGCACTTACTTTCTCTCCAAGGAGTGAATCTGCAGCTGAGGCTCCAGCTGGAGTAGACACCAGCCAGGGCTGCCCTCACTCTGCTGTAGTAAGGCTCCTGGATGTCAGAGGTCTCATGTGTTAGGTCACAGACATGGCTTGAAATCCCCCAGCACTCGTCTTTGTTTTGCCATGTGCTCTGCCCATACCTGTGGAGAAAGAGGAGGAAGGGTGTAAACTTTAGGGATCACTGCCTGTGCCCATGCAGATTCTCAGCCATCTGTTTTATTCTTTTGGCGCTGACAAGCATCCTGCCATTATCCTGCCTGGAAATTAACTGCCTTCAGTTTGATAACAGGGAAGGTTGATTTCATGGGTGTTTGGGAGCTACAGGTTTCTGTCTTTTCTGAAAGAAATCTAAAGCAGAGACAGGGTCACCAGCCCTGTCAGAAGCCGTCTCTTAGCTGCCCCATGGGAGAGGTGGGCAAGCTGTGGCTCAGCCAGTGTGCTCACTGGTGGGCAGAATGCTGGATTTCACTAAACTGTTCCTCAAGGGCAATAATCATTTCAGGCACTCACCAGTGTGCCAGGGGTGGGAGCAGACCCTGGAGACCAGCCCCTAATGTTGCCTCAATCTTTCCATGCAAGACAGTGAGACCTTTCCACCCTGAGACTGTGGGCAAGGTAGGCCACTGAGATACATTTAATGTTCTATTACAGAATAACTTGGCCTACCCAGACCTGCTTGAGGCAGGTGGCTGGACCCAGTGGCTTTCAGAGGTCCCCTGCAAACTACATTTTCCATCAAATCCTTGGTGCAATGAGGGTGCAGAGCGTAGTGCTGGAGGTGCTTACTCCTTGCCTTGCGCTGCTTGACTGCACCTTACAGGATTGGTAGTGCAGAAACCACTGAGAGCTGGCAGCCAAGCAGGACATGGCTGCTGCCCAGGAATGAGAACCTCCTGACACCTGAGAAGTCATTTTATGCCCAGCAGGGCTGAGCCCCAGCCCAGTGGGAGGCACTAGTACTTACACTTTGTACTGCACAAAGTAGAGCACATCTCTGGCCTCTCTGGCCCACCCAGGCTGCCAATGCAAAGTGGTGTTGAAATTTAACGAATGGAACTCTACCTTCTGTGGCTTAATCGAATCTTGCAGGTCTTGGTTTCCCAAAACTAAAAGCGCTGCAGATAAGAAGGAATGATAACATAAGGGGTTTGTCACAGACACGTTCCTCCATGCTGGAATCAGAGGGTATTGCTACAGACCATGTTGCTTCATGACTAGCAGACCACAGGGAAATTAAATATCCTGGATCTCACATTCTAAACTTTCCAAGTCATGAAGTCAAGCAGTTGCAAAAGAAACACATTTAGAACTATGAAAGGAATACTTTTATGTGGTCTGAGTGTTTGAGGTGGGAGTTTTTGCTGTTTGTTTTGGGTTTGTTTGTTCATTCATTGTTGTTTTGTTTTTCTTTTTTTTTTTCTTTTATGTTGGTTTATTGGTATATTTTTCCTTAGTGAGTTTGCTGCTGTGAAAGATACCTGATGATCACCTCAGGAAACAAACCCTTCAGATCTCTTCACAGAGTCTGCAGTGAGCATCCCCATCAATACTTAAAAGTCAAGTGCTCTTTCCTGCTTTACTCCACAGCTCAGCTTTAACCTGAAGAGATTATAGCTCTTTTAACTGTTACCATAGTCGTGTTTACCAGCTCCTGCCTAATAAACAACCACCTGAAATTCACTTTTCTTGTCTGTAGCACTGGAAAAGCTGTCTGACAGTTTTCAAGGTCATCTATTTTCAAGCTGCTATATTACTTATAACAGGTTCAGTTAACAACCTCTCTGAATCATTCAAACCCTAATATTTTTGTGGGTTTTGCAACCCAGATGACAGCAGCTTTTAACCTGGCAGAGCACAGAATCAGATAAGACTTGTCCTGGCTGAACTAAAACTGGTAATACAGCCATGAAAAAATCTAACGGCTAACACATTCATTTTATCTGCATTTCAGAACCTGGAATGATAAAATAACAAACTAATTTGAAAGTGACTAGCTTTTGAAACCCACCAAAAGATACAGAGATTTCTTGACTCATCCAAAAAATTCAATAACAAGCCCTGTCCTCCCACTCCCCCTTCCCTTCCCACATAGGAAAATAGCAAAAAGCCCTTACTTACAAGTTGTCTCATCCTGAAGCAGGTGCATCAGTAAGCAGAGGAAGGAAAGCATGATCCTCCTCATGCTTAGGAGAGCAGCTCCATGACAGAAAAGCACCTCTCTTCCTCTTGGGCATGTCCTATGAGGAAGTAATTGTTAAGCACTCCAGAGTTCCCCTTATTTTCAGTGGTTTCCAAATTCCCCGGTTTGGCTTTGGTTTAATTTAACTGCAAAACATATGAGTAGCTCTAAATTAAACATGAGCAGTTGTTCTTTCTTGGCAGCTGTGGTCATGCAGAGTTTGGAACTAATTATGAACCAAGCCATTATGAAAAAGGTCCTTTTTTTAACACACTAATTCCCAGATGATGTCTGCCAAAATTTCTTTACCCCATAAATTTATCACAGAAGTTTTCTTGCTTGCCATGCTAAGATTTTTAATATATTATTTATTTATTTATATTTATTTATTTACTTTCAGCTCACTAGTTACTCAGAGCTGAAGAACACAAGAAATTTTGCTCTGAAGATATAAAAGACCTACCCATGGGATGCGCTTTGGGTTTGATGTACTGCCTCTGGGCCAAAAGCAAGAGCTGGAATTTGCAGGTGTGCTGGTGGCAGGACATCGTCTAGGGGGCTGTCACTGGAGGAATGAGGGGCTGTGAAATCACTTCTGGCTGTTGAACAGCATGTTCATCCCATGCTGGCTGCGGGGGAGATGCTGGGATGCTGGGGAAATTGCAGGACTGACAGCCTCCAGACTGGAATTAGGAAGATAAGCCCAGCCCACAGGGCAAAGTGCCACTCTAGATTGGACTTTCAGACTGCTGGGAATCGTATGCCCCAACTGGTGCAGGTGTGCTGCACACTGCCTGCACAAATATTGGCATTTGTCGGTGTTATCCTCTGCATCCTGCCTGCCCAACGTGTCCGACCCTACAAGCTTGACCCCAGGGCTGGGGATGCTGGGGCTCTCCGTTGAAAAAAATCTCACTTTGTTCTTGCAAATGCTTTAATGCAGTCTGCCAGGTGGGAGAGGAGTTTTGTGCTCCTGGGATGTGTGGAAAGCTCAGACAATTCTGTTGCTGGTGGGGAACGCTGTGCTGCTGCCTAGGCTTGCCCCTCTCTCTTCCCTCCCCGAAAGCTCCCCGATGCTGACACCCACTGGTACCTCAGTGCTCATGCACTAGTGCAACTAAGCACAAGTCAGGATGCTTTCTCTTTCTGCAAACTCATGATGATAAGCAGGAGGAGAAAAATGCTAATTTTGTAAGACTTAGTGCAGCCCTGCATAAGCTTTCACAAAAGGAGTAATGGATGTGAAGACTACCTGTCTACTAACAAATAATTGCCATGAAATCATCTTTGCTTTGGGAAAACGTGGAAACAGACGACTTGTCAGGTCAGAAAAAGTGCAAGTTCTGGTTCAAAAGAACTTATTTAAAGGCCACCAGTTATATTGAACAAACTGAACAACATCTAGTCAAGAAGCTGATTTTGGTCAGATAGATAGATGAGCACAGGGTCTCAGTTCAGCTGATCACTCATATCTCATTATACTAGCACCAAACCTGCCCCATATATAGTAGAATGCTAACTGTGTAGCTTTGAATAATGAATTAGTCAAACCAATTAAGGGAATTAAAGAACTGAGAAAAAATGAAGAAGAAAAACCCCACCAAAATGCAGGCAGAAGTCAGAAATTCTATCTCCAGCTGCAAATTTTTTTAAAAAATTAATAGTTTATTTACTTTAAATAGTTCCCCACGCCAAATTCAATTAGTATTTCATCATGTTATATGAGCTCAAGTACGGGAATAGGGAACTTTTACAAACCAATCACTAGACTGAAAAGTCATCAGCGTTTAGTCACAGGTCATGTATTTATTTACTTGAATTGTACACACCTTCCCATATCCCGAGAAGCAGCCCATTGCCAGGAGCTGAAGTGTGGACCTTTGTCAAAGTTCCTTTTGATGGTGGCTCCTCCTAGGAGAGCAGAGCTGAGGGCCAGCCTGCCAGCACCAGCGGGTTTTGCTCGGAAAAGGCTGCTGTGTGCTGTGGTGAGAGAAATGCCTGTCACATGGGTGCTGGAAAACACCCAGCGTTTCCTGCGCACGGCACTGCGATAGCGCTTTATCGGCAGCTGGGCTGTGCTCTGCGCATACCGCTGACTCCTCACACACTTTCTGCTGTCACTGGAACAGCCGCTGTGGCAATAGCCGCCTATTGGCACCTGTGCTGGTCATCGGCCTCGGTCGCCGCTTCAGGGCTTTGTGGGGTACAAATCAGCACAGCCACAAGGAGCAGCTGCACACACACACACACGTGTGCAGACATGTACACGTATGTCTGGAGTCTCACAGAATACCTATATAGTGTATATACAGTGTATTTGCAGTGTATACAGCACATTTCAAAATGTACACTATCAAGCAACACAGGATGATGCACGCTGCAATGCTGTTTAAAATATGAGAACTGCTATAAACAATATTAAGGCTACTCTGAACAGTGCTTTATGAAGAAATGGAAAGTTGAAGTGTATTACTTAGCCCAGGAGAATCCACATAAGTAGTTATGCGGCTAGCTCATCCTAGCTTACGCTGCAGCATCTTTCTGATCCAAACCATTGTGAAACAGCAGAACTGATATTTTTGTGACCCAACATAAAAAACCATGGGTATGAGAATTTTTTCCATTGCTGGACTAGAAACCTCTCTGAATGCTGTGTAAACAGCTTGCTTTCTCTTGAGGACGCATTATTGCTACACAGAGGTAAAAGTCAAGTATTTTTGCTGAAAACTGCTTAACTCATTTCATTTGAAAGGACCACCTCCTTGTTACTCTTTTTTATTCTTGTGCCCTTGAAAGAGTTGCTTCCCATACATAAGAGGGGGAAATGTAACCCTGAAACTGCTACTGCAGCACAACCTTTGGTTTTTCAGATGCCATTTATACATTTGTAGTGGATGTGAGGGTGGGTTTTGCTTACATGCCTGAGGATGTGGGAGGATGAAGAAAGCATACCCAAAACATACAGGGAATACTTCTAGTAACTGCCAGAGGCAAGGCAATTCTCTCTCATGTGTGGCATTTCACACAAAAATTAAAAAATGTGAGTGGTTCATGTTACTCCAAAGACTATTCGCAATTGGAGTCACAGTTTTCAGTCTTTTCTAAACAGCCAGTGTGGACTCAGAGGAAAACCTGTCTTGGGAGGGGACTCTGGAGGTCATCTTGTCCAGCCTCGGCACAGGGATAGTGACAATTTTATCCCACAGTTAGCCACCTTTAACATGAATTTCCCCTGCAAATCCTAGTGGGATTCCTCTGCTGCAATTTATGACAGATGCTTTCTGTGCTTTTACTTCAGATAAAAGTCTGCCATTTCTGCAGATGCTACAGTTTGCTGTAGTTGGCAATGAGATTTCTCCCGAGTGCCACCCCTCCTGGCTGAAGGGATCCAGCTCCCTCAGCTTCTTCTGGTGTGTCACATGCAACAGGACAGCCCTTTGCCAGCTCAGTGGGGACTGGAAAGTGAATCACTACACTGCATACAAAAATTAAAATGAAAGCAAAGAAAACCCCCACAGGCAGGCAGGAGGGACTTTTTGGATCTTTCTTCCCTGCCCTGTAGGGAAGAGACATTGCATCACACGAGTTCTTACAGAGAAGTTTCTGAGGAAGCAACGCAGACTTTCACTGCACAGTGTGTGCCTTCCCTGCTTCCTGCACACAAACCTCATCCTCACCGTTAAACAGCTTGGGCCAACATTTTAAAGATTGCAGTTAAAAATTCCAATGCTGTAGCTGCATCTACATTGGGAGACTTTTGACCATAATAAAGATGAAGATCTTCTGAAGGCTCAAAAGTGAGTCAACATTTGCACATGCAGTATTTATTTAACCATGGGCAACACACTGAACTGACCAGGAAGTTAGTAACCAACACTAACATTCATTAGGAACTGAAATTAATACAAACCCCAAGATAGCTCCAAGTCTTTCATTTAAATGACAAGTTCCCTTAAAATTGTCTGGTTTTCTCACTTGAAAAACCATAGAATTATATTTTTTCCACCACTAAGGAGTGCTGTAGCTTGTTTAAGCCCATTAAGACATGCATTTTAGGTTGTGGATCCCTCACCAAATGATCTGCAGACAAAATCTACCAACTTGGAGACATGTGAAATTAATATTCCAGAATTTGTTGGTTTTTCTTAGGTAATCTTCATAGCACAGTAAAGGTGCCAAGTGCTCACTCAGCCAACAGAACCCACAGATAAAACTGGAGAGGTACAGCACAAGCATTGCTCATGCTTTCTTGGTCCACCTACTAAAGTAAAGAAAGGCTCAGTTCTGGTAGTGCCAATGCTCTCTGACACACTGCCACCAGAGGCAACTACTATATTGGTAGAATATGACCCACACACTGATTTTTTTTTAATTTATTTTTTTTTTTTAGCAGGGAGTGGTTTGAAGCCTCTGCATCTAATCACCAAGTCCAGACCACACTGGGCTGACTCAGCACATGGCACAAGAAGGGCAAGGGGTTGGCAGGCCTGCACTTGGGAAAAGACACGCAGAACTGGCACGTCTACCTTCACATTCATCATCAAAAATTGGGCTGCAGAAGGAGCAAACACTTCTGGTAGCTACTTTGGACAATAAAACCTAGAAAGATGCAAGTTCCAGGGGTTTCCCTGGCCAAGGGAAAAAAGAAATACAAGGAAGAAAAAAGAGAATCTGCCTTTCACTCATCTCTTCTGCAAGGAGAAATTTGCAAGCATCACATTTTCTAGCTTGTGGCTTAGTTCTGTGATTGTTTTTTGAATTCTCAGTATCATTCTCCCTCATCCAAGAAATGCAAACTCCAGACCAAGAAGTCCATTCTTACAATGATCTTTACCACCACCATCTCCAAATACCTACTGTATTTGTACATACACTGTTTTACAAGCCTTTTTTGTTTTTCTTAATAAATACAGTGTTGCAGATCTTGTGTGGATAGTCCCTAAGCATTCAGGAATCAGCGTTCTGAGCTTTTCAGGACAGGACCCTTCACACCTAACTGGTTTTCACACTTCTCAGAGGTGTTAGTTTCGAGTCTACTGCAGCATGACTGCTTAACCAATAAGATCACTCTGTGATTCTTGAAGACAAAAAAGCTTTGTTCCATATTCGTCTTAAATGAAGTTTGGTGTATCTCTCTGGTAGTTTTGCTGCACACCCTGAAGCAATTGACAAATTAATTCTTTGTAATTTGCCATCCAAATTCACAGTAGTTTATTCCAATTTCTAGTCAGATTTGGGGGGTGAGTACGAATTAGTACTGTATTAAAAGCTGATACAAGGCCAGACTGATACTTGAGATGAAGCCACATGGAAGAAGGGACTGAGAAATGGCATAGATGCTCTCTACCTCCTTGCTACCACTGCCCTCTAGCCATTCACACAAGCTTTTGCAACCCTTCCTTCCTTGTTATAATCTATCTCACACTTAATCACATTTGCAGCAGGTTAGCAGAGGCCTCAACTCTCCCAAACCTGGTAGCAGAAAACACACAACAGTACATACAGTTCCTGTCTTCTGGAATGGAACTGCACATGTCCTCCACCCTTCCTGCTATTAACTGAGCTGCTATAAACTTAGATATGTCACAAAATATAACACAACACAGTTGTGTCCAGAAAGAAAACGTAGTGTATTTATTTTTGTTCTTTTCGCTCTGTATTTGCAGTCTGAAAGGATTGTATTTACTCTTTTTTGAAAGGGCATTTTTGAAGGGATGTTGAGTCTTTGAGCTTGTTTTTCAAGTGATGTTGGCATAGAAAAAAAAGCTGTATCAGAGTCAATACTCTTACTGCTGTACTGTGAACATTGCAAGGATGTGACAACCGCAGGATTAATTTTGCAGGACACATAGCAAGCTGGCAGGCAGAACCTCTTGGTTTGCCTGCTCATTGTTTGCTCTGCTTGTAATGCTTTTCCTCTTTCAAGCTGTGGCTAGACAGCAGAAATTAAAACATCACACAAATAAGACTTCTGTGATCTTTAAACTTCTAATGAACAGTAGTAAGTTCCAAGGAAGATCAGCTTTCCTCTCTGTAGCAATTAATCCATTCAAATGGTTTGACCATTTAATCCTTTTCCATAATTTTTAAATAGAACAGAAGGAAACAGCCCCAGGCTGAAGCAATAGGGCTGGACTTAAGTTACTGCAGGCTGCATCAACAGCATCAAAGGGCAAGAGAGAAACTGCAATGCTGAGGATGAAGATGGTCAGTAGGATCCAGGAACTGCTGCACACATCCACACACACAGATGGGCCACACACATCTCCCCCAAACAGTATTTTGGTTCTCAATAAAGCTCAAGCATACACCATGTAAGTAACACGAACTGAGAGAGCTTCAAAAGCACATTTAGGCTTCAGAACAAAAGCTGACAGTCATAAAGAGGCAAGGACACACATTTTTCTTCTTAGATTTTTTTTATTTACATATAAAAATGGTTCAACTGTACACTATTTACAGGACTTTCATTACAGATTTCAGCCCAATGATGGCATCCATTTAGAGAATCTAGAAAGAGTATTAATAAACAAGAACTTCATAGTTAAGGGACTGAACACACTAAAGGAATCTACACAGGTCACCTTTTCCTAAGATAAAAGGTGCTTTGTATTTGGTTTGTCATTTTGGTTGTATGTTTTTAATATGTGCTGAAACTATTAATCTGAGCCAAGTACAATATCTCTTACTTACTCAACTGCTTACACGGAACCACTTCAGAGCAATTGGCTATTCCTAACCACGAGAAAAACACGTTTTCCCATGCAAATTTCTTTTTTTGCAATCTTCTATGAAGGATAAAAAAAATTAAAAGTATGTGCATCTGTTCCAGGCAACTGTCTTGTTTGCACAGATGTCAGTATATTTGACAATTTTTTTTTAAACTACATTATTGACTTATGTGGAAAACCACACAAAAGCAGATTTGATGTTTCTGTGCCAGTGCACAGTACTGCCATAATACCTCATTGTTAACTGCACATCTAATAATAAAAATTACAATGTCCACTCAAGAACAAGAACTAAAGAAGTTCTTAAAAATGTTGGCAGGTATGAGGCCAAAGTTTTGGAAGTTCTCTTTCACAGGGGAGTCTTACCTCATCACCCAAATCACCTTGAAGTGAGAGAAAGGGAGGAGTGCTAAGGAGCCAGGACAAGAGTAAAAATCAGCTGAAAAAGTTTGAAGTAGCAAAACCTTCTAAGTGTGTCACACTGGATAGCTGATAGCCCTATAAAAGGCATTAATATTAAATTATTTTCAATGTATAAATGTTAGGCACTTTCATATTCTGGATCAAGGTGCAATGTATGAATATTAAGAAGCTCAAGCAAACTACTTAATCACAAGATTATTAATCAATTAAACGAACTCAATTAGGTGAAAATGTATAGATAAATACTACCTGACAGGTTACAAATGACATGGCAATATTTGGCATTACAGAACTTGCAAAAGCAAAGCTAACCAGCTGTAGCTGAAAAGGCATTTCCATTCCCAAGAAATCCTCACATTCCAAACTGCTGGATTGTATCCAGATTAGCACCATGACTCGCCCTACTCTTAGGCTTTCAATACCACTACTGGCAACTGCTAAAAACAGGACTGGTGGTAACAGAGCTTACTGACCCAGAAACACATCTTGTCTCACTGTGGCCTCACATTTTCAGCTAGTCAAAGTAAGTAAAAGAATCCTGTGCTTTGTGCACCCTTAAACTTCTTTATTTCACAATCAGAAAAGCTCTAAGCTGGCCTGAGCAATTTAAACATCTAAACTATCCCTGTGCCACTAGGTAAGTATGAAGCACACAGAAGACAGATTGCACAGATGGTGCTAGTTCAGTGGCTTCTATATTTACAGCTCAGAAATTCTGATTTAAAAGTATATTTAACCTTGTTTTATTTCAAGAGCAGGTCTGTTGTATATATATGTGATACAGTACAAAGCACTCACACTGCTGTTATTGATTCTCAGCTTCTAAAATAACACCACCTTTCCAATACATGTGACTATCTGCCATGACAATTTTTTCCCCGTATGTTATGATATATTTTTGAGTCATTTCTTACTGATCTTAACATTGATGTTCTTAATGATAGCCTAGCTCCTGGCTGGGTCCTTTTACTCATACATGACTTCATGTGATTTGAAAGATTCAGAAGAATGTACAATGTAGTTGCATTGCAGGGGCAAGAGACAAGAACCTGAGATAGTGATTTGGTTTTAAGATGTGTCTATCTGCATTCCTCTTCCATTGTGTCAGCAAAGGAAAATCTTCCAGAACAATGAAACACTTAACTCACACAAAACTAAGATGCTAAGTCTTAGTTCTAACAGCAACAGGGTTTCCTCATGAACTGCTAAGAATGTAAACATAGTTTAAAAAAAAGTAACATGCTTCTGACAGAATCTTGGTTTTGTGGCAGATACATCAAATCCAACAACTGCCAGAGCTAATTCCTGACCTTTTTTTTTTTGACAAAACTGACAGAAGGAAAACAAGCAACCAAGTGCAAGGTTAAATGCTCTGAGCAGTTGCAAAGAAAATACTCGGCAAATTGTCTGGTCAGAAACTTGTTCCCAAAAACAAGACTAACTTTACAGTTTCTAATGTTCTCTTTATCCCTTCAGAGCCAAGTTTAACTTAAGCACTTCTCTGACATTTATAAATTCCTGAGGCATTTACTGCAATTCATATTCATCAATAAACCTCCAAACTCAGAAAGAAATTACATCAACTCCCATCTCTGCACAAGACACAGCTGCTCATCTACTTTGTACTACCTGGAAAGTCAGTTTAACTGAAGTTTCAAGTGCAATTAATGCTGATTTTCAAAAAGCTTTCTCGTAACACCGAAAGTATTATTTTCTGACCTGGGTCATGGGGGTACACACTAGTGCATCTGAGCAGTAAGTCACTAAGCACTGCCTTCTAGGAACACAACCCAGAACATGATATTGAAAAAGTTGCTAAGGGCTCTCATTATGTTTGAATATAATGCAGGAACAAATCACAGCCAGCTAACAATTACTAACTGGGCTTTACATTACATCATAATTACAAAATTCACCTGCTTGATTTGGCTTTTCCTAAAATTATCAAAACCCTGGTAACCCATCTGTTATCCTTCCTGTGAGTAGTGATGGGAAAAATAGCTATTGTCTTTAAATCTTTTGTACCATTGTGGTCAATATCTGATATAGACAAGAACAGAGGCACTCCTGAAACATCTGTATAAACTAACTTCACCTTAAGAATACTCATGTCACTGAGAAACGTAAGGACAGAAATACTGTGACACTGGTTTCCCTTTAAAACCACCTGCTGTAACAGGCTAACAATTCTGATCATCCTATAGAAATGTCTTTTAAAACAAACCCACAATTTTGTGTAAATGGGTAATGTGTAAAACTTGTACCCGTAAAGTGTTCTTTTTTCCTGAACTAAACTTCATTAAAAATTGCAATAAATATTTCCTACAAATAGAAAATACCTATTGAATCTTGATTAAAGGGAAATAAATGGATTGCATGGATTTCAATATGAAAAAAAAAATACAAAATTCTTATTACTCAGTTTTCAAAACTACAACTCTATGATACAAAATTCAGAAGGCTGTCAGATGAAAATAAAACTTATGAAGTACAACTTAATCACACTATTTTTCTGTTGTATTAAGACATATTTTTAGAGGGTGATTTTACGTAGTTCCTGAGTTATGTTATTGAAACAGGGGAAATGGCAGTGACTTTCATCCTGCTAGGAAACATGCTTGGAAGGAGTTCTATTCATTTCTATTTAGAGAACATATTGTTCTAAAAATTAGGATGGAAGTGTCCCAGAAGAAACCAGGCTTTTGAATTTTGAGGACATTTTCTAAAGAATTTGTGCAACCACTCATTAGACTTTTTTTTCTCAGTGATGATCAGTCAGCTTGCTAATATATTCTGCCAGAATGCGACATGGTTATTCACACCACTAGGTGATCCAAATGGGTGCTGCTGTACTGAAGTCAACAGCAAAGACTACAAATTCACAGAATTGTTAGAGTTGGAAGGAACCTCTGGAAATCATGCAGTCCACCCTCCTGGCAAGGCAGGGTCACCTAGAGCAGCTGACACACGAATGAGTTCAGGTGGGTGTTGAATGTCCTCAGAAAGGGAGACTCCATGATCTCCTTAGGCAGCCCCTTCCAGTGCTTTGGCACCCACCCTCAATGCAAAGAAGTTCTTCCTCATGTTGAGGTGAACTTCTTGTGTTCTTAGTTTATGGCCATTACTTTTTACTTCTTTGACATGGAATCAAATTCTTAAGATACACAGGAAGAGCCTATAGACATAATCTTATTTAAAAGAAATAAGAGCACTTAATATAAAAATACTCTTCAAAAGAAGAAGATAAGCAAGTGGATACCTCCAGTAATAGTAAAAACTCTCAAATATTTCTTGCACATGTCTATCATAATCAAGTGAAGTATTTCCTAAGCATTATGTTCATTGAACTAACTTTGAACAAGATTTGAAGCAGAAGTGAATAATGGTAGAGATGCTGTTTTATAGTTGATGGTATGTTTTCTATAGAGTATTGTTAAAAAACACAGCTCTATTCCAAATAGGAAATAATGAGTTATATCATATATAAAAGCATTTTAAAAAGTGGTTATTATGAAATTTCCCCACACTTCTTATGCCATTTTCAGGTACTATTTTCAATTGTGCACTGATCAGAACAAGTACAACTTGTAGATGCTCACAATTTAACCCAGACTTTCCACAAGCTTTAGTAATGCTGTTCTTCCTGAGCTGTGGTAAAGCACTTCAGCACTTCATCCTGGCTACTCAGTTGGCCTGTAAGCATTCACAGGCTGCTCTTCACCAACATCTATCATCAGCATATCCAATGGAACATGAGGCTTGTCATAGCCAGAAAACTTGAAGCAGCTGCTTGGAACCACTGTTTGCTGTGTTTCTGTGCTAGCAATCTCTGACCCTGAAGACTTACTGCAAATATCCATTTGGCTACTGTTAGAAATGAAGTAACTCTCTTTTCCTTCACAATTCTGTTCATCAGCATCACAAGACACCTCCTCTGTGCTTTCCTGCACAGGCACCTCTTCTGCTTTGGCTGGTGCCTCTGGGGAAGGGACAGAAGATTCTCCATCACAGGAACTGACAGGACTAACAGTTTGTTCTTTTGGCTCTATCACCACCAAGGTTACTTCACCATTCACTGGCAACTCCGAGTGGGCTGACATCACAGACATATACTTCCCCTCTGATCTTGGTCCCGTTAGGGCACCCGTGTTCAGGTTTCTCATCACACTGACCTAAATGGGAAAAAAAAAAACCAAACAACTTTGAGTTTGAAAGTTGGAAAAATATGTAAGTTAATAATAACAAATATAACATCACTATTACCAATTCTAAAACAAAACTGCAAAATTAAAATCTGGCACAGTCACTGGCCTATGTCCATGAGTTCAACTGTTCCAGTAACACTTGTATGCAAGATCTCAAAAATGCTTACTTTGGGCAAGCATATTTGCAAGGATCAAATCCATTTCATGTCACCCACTACCTTGTGAAGTTTCCAACATTGAGGAAAGCAACAAAACAATACCACAATGTAATACTCTTCAGCTGGGGAAACCTTTCATACTCTATAGCTAAGGAGTGCAACTTACAGTGCCTTTGATAATTTCTGGCACCTGTCCCAACCAGGAGGGAAGTGAACAACACACCCAGTAGCTGCTTCTATGCTGAAGTCTCTCAGCTTACTTCACAGAGTCACTAAGCAGTCCCTCAATGCTGCAACAAACTTTCATGTTTCACTTTGAAATCCGTCCACAAGTTGATCGTATGAATTCTTTCAATGGCCAGGCCCCAGCTTGTTTTAAACAATTACAGTATGCCTTCAGGCTGCTTAGATTCTTTAGACTTTTTTAATGTCTTTTCAAGAGTGCATACAAATGAAAAACAAAGTAGGGTAAATTTTTAGCTATTTGATGGTGTTCCCTAAAGACAGCAGAACACCTAGGGAGAAGGAGTTAATAGAGTCCTTTCACAAATTTTGTAATCCACCATGAAAGTGTATCACACAATATCAAGTATTGTATTACAGATCCATTAATTTCTTAATGAAATACACATTGTTTTTTTCAGATACTTTGTAAAAAAATAATCTGCCTGAAAATTCTGATGGAGGCAAATTTGGAAGAAAGAGATGTGTACAGGAGAAGGAAAGACGAAGTAAAATAACATTAAGAAAAATTACAAACAGACACAAAGAACCTCCCAGTCTGTACAAGTGTAAGAACTGAGAGGGCCATCAAAACCAGAAGATCCAATCTGACTCTGCTTTTCAAGAATCTTCTCTGATTAAAAGGTTGTGAGACTGTAGCTTTACATTCCTACCTTCAGAGCACGCAGACTTCAACAGAAAATGCTTTCATCTCTCACTTCAGTCTGATTACCTTACCCCTCAGCAGCCCTGATACCTGTTGATGTTACTCTGTGGTTAAGGCTGGATCAATAAAAGCATCACAATTTAGGAAAACCAACCAGCCAAACAACACCACCACAAGTCAAGCAAACAGTGCCTGAAGAGCAGTTACTGGTCATCTAAGTTAGCCTTACAAACAGCTGTGTGAACATCACTAAGGTGAGGCAATCCCCCAGGGAATTAAGGGTTGCCACTGGAAAGTGGATTCAGGTGGCTCCTGACACACTACAACTAGCTGCCACTCAACCATCAGTGTCTCTGGATCTTCATTTTCTGTTATGGAAATAGAATACTACATAAAGAATATTCAGAGTAAATTTCCATGAGAATTCATGGAAACCACTCGTTCATAAGAAGCAGATACTTAAAAGTTAGTTGCAAGTAACAGACTACAATCAATATTGGGTAGATACTGAAAATGTTAAGAACACCATAAAGGATTAATACACTTTTTGAGAATCTCTTTATACAAGTATATTGGGTATATACCCAGAATATTGGATACTCATGTTATACAACACTGATCTTGATGGAACCAGCATCTATAGTTTTTTGGGGTGGGAGTTAGCAAACATCTGACTCTAATAATCACACAGCAAGTGACAAGGGAAGGTAATTCTCTGTGTAAGGTGGAATACTTGAGGAATGTGAATTACAAGAAAGTATAACAGAAACCATAGTCAAAGGCTGCATTTTCAGCTTTCCATCTCTCCCCATACCAGTACAGGCCAAACAGAAGTTAAAAACAAAACCCAGTGAGTTCTTGTTTCTGTCCTTTTAGGATTTTCACACAGCTCTAAAAAAATCACAATCCTAAAATGTGTTAAGGGATCACCTTGCACTCTACACAGGTCCAGCATTTCACAGTGAGCACTGGCAATACTTTGAGACTGGGGATAAAACACATATTCTCTGAACAAGAACATCCAAGACTTCTCAAAAAGGAAACCCATTTTTCTCTTGACAAGTTTCTGACCAAGGCAAGACGGTGCAAAGACACTCCTATTCCCATTCATGAAAGAAGGAAGCGATCAGAAGAAAAAAGTCCCATGCGCTTCCTGGTATCAAAGGTTTTCTAAAAGCCACTGAGTCATAACTACAAGACAATTTAGCAACTCATGCAGTTTTTTCTAGCTTCAAAGATAAGAATCAGTTTATTACAGTAACTGAATGCTTATTACACTTGAGTAACATTTGAGTAACACTCAAAAGATCTTATGCAACAAGGGTAATTATGATACGGCTGCTATTTGAAGAAAATTATTTACTATAGGTGAGTTAATATTTTTCTTTTATTCACATTACCTAGCAAACTGACACCCAGTGATGGGTATCAGCAGCATTTCCTGGCATGTGCAGGTACTCACATAACTTCCCATCTCCAGTAACAGGACCTGAGCTTTCAGGGCTTTCACCGTCTCAACAGACTAGTGAGAAACACTGCTGAAAGGCAGGCTCAAGGACACAGATAAATAACACATCCCAAGGAATCCATAACAGCTAAGGTAATTACTAATTCTCCTTGTCTAACGATGTGTCCACCTATGAGTTCCAAGTAATTTTCAGGTGGACATTTAATGAAGGAGAGTTTGAGAACTCCATTTCAAATCTTATTAGGATGATGGCAAAAATCTTTGTGGTCTTTGCATGGTTCCACAAAACATGAATACTATGTAACTTTATGAAGAGAAATGTTACTGCCCCCCTACAGATGCTCACAGGGGGAAAAAAAGTTTTCACAAAAGCAATGAAGCAGCTTCTGTCTTCTAACATGACAATTATTCGTGGCAAATGTCAGTCAATATTTACAGGAACAATTAGTTTCTCCACATCAAAAATATATGTTGTATAACCAAAGAGCAAAGCCTTGTCATTCCTGTCAGAACCAGAAAAACCATTAGCAGAAAACAGAAAAGCAGGCTTAAGTAAGACTCAACATTCACTTTTCTCTTGAGAGTAAATGTTTTCTGCTCCCAAAAATATCTGCCACCATTCAAATACAAAAGACACTGAAGAAAAAGACAGGGAAGTTAAAGCAGAGAGAGATGCCCACAGCACGTCAGAAAATTATGGTCAGGTTCCTTTAAAAGTAGGTATGCCCTTATCATAAATCTTAGAACAAAAAGCAAGCACAGGAATAGCCACAGGACAAATTGCAATGACTGAAGACGATGAGTGGAAAGAGACAGCTTCCTGCAATACTTTTTATGAGATAAATAAAAGGGAGTTTTAACTACAGCTGAACTGCTGAAAGATCAGATTCCTTTGATCCAGGCAGAAGACTAACATGATGTCTTGTAAAGGAATCTGTCCCACTTCACATATGCATAGCCCTGGTAGGATCCTGCTGTTTATAATGATGTTTAAACATTTAAACAAATATGTTTTCTGATGAAGACAATCATTCATTGCCTGTATCAAATGACAGCTGCACTGTGGAAGTAGGACCAAGACATGACTGATAAGCAATTCCTGGGAGTCACAAACAGCATAAAAAATACAGTATAAATGCTCTGGAGCTCTAACTGGCAATAGAATTTTTTTCTTTTCTCTGACTATGTAAGACACGCAAAGGTAGCTGCTCTATGGTTACTCTTTCTCATTTTCCCTTCTGTTGGAAAACTCCAAATTGCTGGAAGTCGCTCAAATGATGTTTTAGCATCTACTTAAACATGCCAGGAAGGAGATCACAGAAAATTAGCAGTCCTAAGGTAGGAAATCTTGCCCAGCCTTTTAAGAGATGGAAGAACTCCCTAGATATTTTATTTTCAGACAAGCTCAGGAAAGGCAAAATGATGATAACCTGTACAGAAAGAAATGCCTAGCACATATTCAAAGGTCAGTAACAGGCTCCAAGTGCCATTAAGCCTATAAAGATAATGTCATATAATTAAACTTATCATTCATATTAATTAAATTATTTGCTCATTACTTCAAATGATTAACCATAAAATAATTATGCTTGTTATTAATTGCTCATTTTACAATCCCATAGTATTCACATCACCTATACTGAAACTACCTCTATGAGCTCTAAAACTCATATTTGTCATTAGAGTCTTCATTGGAAATGGACAGAAATACAGAATACCCTGTTTTGGAAGGAACCAACAAGAATTGGTGGCTACTTCCTGACTCCAGCCAGGGCAACCTAAGAGTTGAACCACACATCTCAGAGCATGGGCCAAATGCTTCTTGAATAGGATTTGGACAGCGACCACTTCCCAGGGGAGCTGTCTCAGTGCCTGATCACCTAGCTAACAATATTTATAAACAGTTAAAGGCTTTATTCAGCTCCTTAGCAATAAAATGTGATGTAGCATGTGAATCATACTGTGATAGTGGAACCTAGGAACCACAAAGTAACATCTAGCCCAGTAAAATGAGAATATGGGCACACACAAGTTTCTACAAGGCGAGCTCAGGTGTGAAGTTGGACCATGCATCAGGAGGCTCACAGGTGTTAAGGAGCACACATTCTATTTGTGATATTATGCTTCCTAATCCTTTAAATCAGATATCACAGTGCTACTGGAAACCCAAAATAAGTATGGATCCCTTGAGTTCAGCACTGGATCCATTGATCACAGCACTGCAATCCTGCATGAGCCACCTTTTGCTCATGAATGGTCTTCACAGAGAATACTGTTGCATGTACATAGGACACAAAGTTACATATTCAGAGAAGAACACCCTGGTGTGAACCTGACAAAAAAGTCTCCAGTGTCTGCTTCGATATTGGGGCCTAGCTGGAGATGTCAGAGAGGTTTCTCTAATCTGATTTTTTAAAGCCTACACTGTGAATGGCTACCTCCAAACTAGTCCCCTGGCTTCATCACAGTCAGTGCAAACAGGCATTTTAGAAAGCATTTTGTCTGACCAGAAGTGCATATAATTTCAGAACAAGATGAATCATCTTGTGCTGCACAAGCTGGTGGACTAGATCACCGCTTTACTACAAAGGAACCACCTCTGGCTTGGCATCTCCACTTAGTCAGAGCACTCTCGCCTCCTGATATTCTATTCTAAAGAACACAAATTCCAGAGGAATCTTGGGCATTCATTATGGAGAGGTCATTTTAAAGGGTTTTGAAACTGAACACCAGACAATGGAATCAAACATTATTGTCTACTCTCTATAAATGAGACTTCCTCCATCCATTGAGAAGATATCCTCGCTGTGATTTCTGTTTACTACTCTGTTTACTGCCTCAGGTGGCAGCTCTTTGAAGTTGTGGTAGTTCATGTTGTGACTAACATGACACCAGGAGAACATTACAAAAGTAGTTCTTAGATAGCCACTCTGGCCTGACATGAAACCAAGGAGTGCTGCTGCTCTTTAAGGAACATCCACTCTGTTTCCTAAGGATGGCTACAGGAAGGTTTTTAAATAGAGCAGCTGTTGACTTCTCTTCCCTGTGACTGCTCAGCATGAGAACAGACTTCCCCATGTCCTTCCTCCCTCTTCCTACAGAGCTATTACTCCCTCCCCTTACTCTGCACATTACTAAGAATATTGTAGCAATTAGCAGAATTGCCAATACTACCATTTAACGAAGGAATCTCACAGCTCCTGCGACAGGACAAACGGAAATGGGCACAAACTGAAGCACACAGAATTTTTTCTGAATGTAAGAAAAACTGTGAGGGTGGTTTAACATTGGAATAGATTTCCCACAGTAGCTGTGGAGTCTCCTTCTTTGCAGGTATTCAAAAGCCATCTGGATATGCTCATGGCTAACTTGCTGTTGCGCTTGAGCAAAAGGCTCTGGGTAGATGACCTCAAAAAGCGTCTTCTCAAATCAGTGATTCTGTGGCTTTGTGTCTCTGCTACTAGAGTGAACACAAACCTGCCTAGGTATGCACACATGGAGTTTTTAAGAACCAAGTTTTGAAACTAGACCAACTACTGCTACTTCAGTTAAAAAGAGACTGAAGTCTAGCCTTAAAAAACTAAGAGGTATCTGGTTGCAAATGCTATCAGAATATTAGACTGGCATAAATTCTAAATATCTATGAGACCATGGTAAAAAAGCAAAAAAAACCCAATCAAAGAAACCCAAGAGATTGGCATAAACATACAGTAGTTACAGAACTTACCAAAGACTTAGGCAGCTGTATGTTGTTTTTCCTTAGTTTCTTGCAGCCACAATATACTGTCGGTATTACCGTCAAGATCCCAATAACAACACACAGAATGATGATATCATGTGTACCTAAGAAGTTAAAGCAAAATCTACTAAGAATTTTGGAAAAACAAGCCTCTGCTGTATTATTTAGAATAATTTCAGAAATTTTAATAGCTCAGAGTGCTTGGCTGTTATGTGTGAATTTTTAAATCTACTATCTTTTTTCACTCAGAAAAACTTAATCCACCAGACTTTTATGGAGTAAATAAAAACTAGAATGACAGAAGCTTTTCAGATTATATAAACATAATCACATTTTTATAGAAATAAATTATTTTTGCAATTAATTTCTTGTTCCTTAGAGAAGACAGATGGAAATAATGAGATTTGTACACCTCCTATGTGATAGGATATTAACTGACATAACTACACAGAGTTTATGTACAATAAAAGTAAATTATTTTATCTTCCAAAACACAGAATTGTTAATGACTACAGTAGGACTCCACTAGCCTGACTCTCCTTAATGCCCTCCCTCATCCAGCTGCTCCTGTGTGTTCCAGAAAACTGCTTCTATCTATTTTATCTCTTTGCTGAAATTACAGGCCATGATAAAGTACAACCACAATGCCTGTAAGATGTTTAGAGATAAAAATTTGGGTCACTATTTGCTTTTCGTTCTCTTTAATTAAGAAAAAGACCGTAATATCTTAATTTCATGACCATAAGTTTATAGCTGCTTCCAGTTAAAAGTATATACGCATTACCCTCAGTGATGAGGCTGAGTAAAAAGCCAGCTGCTAGAACAGACAATGCCTATGAAAACCATATAGCTCAGTGAATGATCCATTTGTGAATTTTTAATTACACCAGTGTTCATGTGCAATAGAAGTAGGTTTTGTAATATCAACACAGGAAAAACACCCCCCAAAAAATTCAGGGTTACTTGAAAATAATATACATAATAATAATGATTTGTAAAGGGCAGAACTGTCAAAGTGCACTTGGAAAAGATTGACTAAGCTTTCCCTATTTTTTCTATTCTCCCAAAGGCACCTCAAGTACCAAATACTTGCTAGATCAGATCTGTCTTCAGATTCAGTATGCTCTTAATATAGCATTTGAATCCTCTTACTCAGTGTCTGCCTGAGAGGAACAGGAGTGCAAATTTCCTCTGATGGAGTGCCAAATACCAGAAGATCAAAATTTGCTTTTGCTGAAACACAGTAAGTGGAACTCTCAGGAAGGATTGGAATTTTGAGGCTACACTTATGAATTGTACAGTTGTCCTCTTCGAACTCTTCAGTCTGAAAAAAGAATGGAAGACATGTTATATCCTTTGACTCACTAGAACAATGTTACAGCACCTTCCACTACTTCCAAAAATGTTACAACACTATTAGTTGTGTTTCCCACATCACTCATATACCTTGCAAAAGCTGTGTGACCAGTACTGGTTACCTTAAGATGTTATATTTGATCAGAGCATAGTATTTTCCAGCTAAAATTGCTGCTATTTATAGTAGAGATTCACAGTTATAAAACTTTCACTGGATGCATATGAAAAGCTAACTGTAAGTAAACACAACTGTTGTAATTTTCCTCGCCTTCACCCTCCATGATTGCTAAATATACTGGTATAAATACCTTGAAAGGCAATTTTCTTAAATGAAATGTCTCTTTAGACAAATGAGAGGGGCACAAGTTAAGTTACTAATATTTACATGTATGCAGACACAGCAGCATGTGATCCAGTAACACCTATCTTGTGTACAGTTAATGCAATAATCTAATTTTTGTAGTAAGCACTCATTTGGACAACTAAAATACAGACCTTTGGCTCACATATCTCACTGTAATGGGCTCAGCATTTTAGGTGTTCAACTACCTATTAGTTCCATGCATCACAGGTGTAAATCTCTTGTATAGGCATTTAAGGTAAACAAGTGTTTTGAATTTTAACTCTTATTTCTGGAACTTACCTCATTTTTACTGTTCCGAATAGTCACCAAGTAGCCAAGAGACGAATAAATGTCAATACAAGAAAGAGGGAATACAGGATGGTGAATATCAACCATGATTTCATCACCATGTCTTGAGATGTTCAGTTTTGGCGGTCCTATTTTTCCTGCAACACATTGCACCATTGCTATTAGGCCAAAACTTTTAACATAAAATACAGTATTTATTGTTAGCTTTCCAAAATTCATAGAGATTTGAAAAGAATTACATCTTTATTTCCATGCTGTGAATATTGCATAACTGTGGTAAGACCTCTCTGTTGCTTAGAAGTAATGGAGGCATTTGGATACATAAACTAATCAGCTTCTAAAATGGAAACAGATTGTGCATGATGAATTTCACTGTTAAGCAATTTCACTTTCCAACACACATAAGATCATAAAAATTCAGCTTACAACAGAAAAAACTTACAACAATTAAACATATACATGAATGAGAACCAAACACAAGATCCTGCTGACTAGATCCCACCATCAATCACCTCAGTTAAAAACAATACTTCACTGAAACAAAGGCTATAGGAAAAGCTAAACAAATCTCACCATGAGCATCCAAAGTTTCCAAACTTTGGATTTCCCATGGCAATGGCCTATGTGAATTTTTGTGTCTAATGGTCTGACTGAACACAAGTTTCTTGTTCAATGGGAAAAGGATTTTGTCTCTTTTCTCCATACATGGCTACCAGTTTTCTGGAAACTGTCACTCTGAGCATTACTACCATGACTTGTGTCCTTTTGTCAAGCTATAGAAACCAGACACTATTTCAAGTAATAGGACTCGAGTGCAAGCGGAATCATAGCAGAAAGCAAAGAGGGACTCCAGTCCTTCAGCTCCAGCAATGCAGAAATCCAGCTCTAGTTAAAGCATAGCCCAAGTCAGACAGAACCTCATGGGCCAGCTTCTCCCTGGAAGCTGTATGTTGGGAACAGAGCAAGCATGGTAAGAAGTCTCTCGGTCCTTCCTGACTCTGTTGCATTTTCTTTGCACTGCACATGCAATGCCAGGGCCTGCCACATTGGACTGTAGACACAAAATTTACTTTTACAGTACCGATGTTGAAGTCTGATTTTTCCAAAGCAGCCTGAAGGATTTACATGACAAACTAGTTACTTAGTTATCCAGTTACAGCTTTTAGTATTTCCTAGACACCTGAAGCTATCAGTACATGGCATTCTAGTGTCAAGCAGTAAATGGCTACTTCAGTGATGCCTAAAGGTCTGTGTTGTCTGGTGACAGTTTCCTACCCTAAATGGTGTCTGGAACATGGGAAGGATTCAGAGTGCACCATCAGCATCATCTTCTTGCCTTTAGACATTTTGTAACCTACTCAGACACTCAGTAAGAGCTAGCAAGCACCAGGAAGTTCCTACTAAGCAATCATCATGCCTCCTTTCATCCTGAACTCCTGGCTTTAAGATATTCCCAAATGCAATGCAGTAACAGAGCAAAATAAATAATTACTAACTCTCTAAATTTTTGGAAAAAATTACAAGGTTTAGTTTAGATACAACTTACCATGCTTTTGCAAAATAAACTCATTTGTCTCAACATATTCAGACTGTTCTGACCCAACAACAGCTTTAACTTTAAGCCAATGAGATGAATAAGGTTCACATATTTCCTCTGAGACATCACAAAAATGAGCTGAAGTGTTCACACAGGTTGAGACCTCCTTATATTCACCTAAACTGTAAAACAGATCAAGTAATAATTAATACAATTTCAACAATTCTGTAAAATACACTGCCTGTAACAAAAAAACTGTGAGGGTGGCCAGGACCTGTGAGGGCACAAATTGCCCAGGGAGGTTGTGGAGTCTCCTCCCCTAGGGATATTCAAAAGCCAACTGGACATAATCATGGATGACCTGCTCAAGCAAGGGCTTTGGACCAGATAACCTCCAGAGATGCCTGCCAACCTCAACCATTCTATAACTTGACAAATTTTGCCTTAATTTACACTTGAGCAACCTTCACCCTACATGACTTTACCACATAGAAACAAGAGAATTTTCCATGGACTGACTACTTTTATGTGCTTCTAGAGAACATCAGGTATAGGAAATAATGAAATAGTAAGAACTTACTTGTAAGGCTTGATTTCCACAATAAAATGAGGAGTTTCAGAAATAGGTGGGTACTGCCAATGCAAAACGGTTTTGAAATTTTCAGATGTTACTACAACTCCCGTTGGTGAAGGCACTAGAATGAAGAGAACAATTGCACTTTGATAAACAGACCTTTCAAACACAAGAATGTACTTCTAAATTATTTGGAAAAAGCAACATGCTAGACATAAATCTCATAAATACTTCCCCCAAACGAGCTCATCTGTCAGCAGTAAAAACACCTATGAGCCCTGTAAGCTAATTTATTACTCACCTCTCCTGCAGAGACAGCTTTTGTCCTCCTTGCAACATCAGATAACACATGCCCACTGAAAGCAAGTCCCTCAGACAGCCTGTATCAGGTCCATAAGCACTGATGATTATACCCCTGTGTTGGTCTTTTACAGATGTAACAGCAAGACAGGTTCTAAGACTACTCAAGTTAGAGATTAGCCCAGTTTCTGCAGATTTCTCTTGCTGTTCAGAAATTGAATTGGAATGGATGGGCTAGGAGATGGTACCAGAGCTGGACTATCAAGGCCAAAATACAACAGGCCTCCTAGGGTAAGCCTGGATTCCCTATGACTTTCTAACAGTGATACCTCTACCACTCCAGCGCTCTTTCCAGTAAGCTGTGATGCCCAAAATAAACTACAAACATTTGTAAGGAATTTGAGCACTGAAGCTATAAAGTAGTTCCATTTGAAGGAATGCATCTGAAGCATACTTTAGCAAACAACATCAGAGGTAATGTAGTAAAGTGATCCAAAAATAAAAAGCAACACTGACAGTTTCCCATATGCAGCAAGTATCTGTTTCAAGCAGCAACCTCAAGAGGGCCATCAAGGGAGCAGCTGCAGGGGAAGGAATATTACAGGATCCTGTAAATGTTGAAGGCAGCCACATGACACTCAGGAAGAGAAGAGAAATTAAGGTCACCCAACTGAATTTAACTGTTTCAACTCAGCTTCCCAATGTCTGGTTTGGCACCCCTAGTATTCTCAATGTGGCTTTTACAAAATGCTGAGGGAACTCATATTAGACCTGCTCTTGTTCACAAAGCAAGTACTACAACTTCACTCTGTGATATATATTTAGGGAAAGTAAACAATTTTCACATCCTGAGAACAAGACCACAAATATAACACATTACTGAAAGCGATACGTAGAAGCTGAGATATGCTACTGACAACCACAAAGGTTTGATTTAATATAGGTCATTCTGCAAGCAATACTGTGGTTTGTTTTAATAAGAGTGGTATTTCAGCTATTGGAAGAAGAGGAACATAATCATCAAATTCACAACCACAAGAAAAAAAAAAAGGTGACAAGTTGACAGAAGAGGTGTCAAGCACACAGACAGGCGAAAGCACATAAACGTTACTTCAAATATGCACTTTTAAGCCAGTGTAGCTAGCCTTACAAAATTTTAACTTTTGTGCACTATTACACAAAAACACCTGCTTAACATAAGGGGTTGACCCCAGAGCACTGAAGGAGGTAGCAAATGTTACAGTAGGATCCCTCCATGATCTGCCTAAGGCTTGGGGAGGTCCCTGGTGACTAGTAGCTAGCAATGCACTGCCTAAAGCAAAACTTAATTCAATGAACTGGACCTTTCCAAGATGTAAAAATGAGACAGCCTTCAAAGCCTGATACTTGCATCTTGTGCAAGACTGAAATTCCTTCCCTCATTCTGGCATTACTGTACACACAGAGGGATTTGTCACCACTGCTTACACAAGCAGTGCAATAATGCTTACACAAGCAGTGCAATAACGCACTCCACTGCTTACACAGTTGAAGTGCAATAATGCACGTTACAAAACAGGGCCTGATGAAACCACAACACAGAGTTTATGGTACAGCTATCTGAGACAACAGCAGTCCTAACAGCCATAATAGTTCATTCAAGTCATATGTGACTTTTAAACATCATTTATGCACTGAAATACAGACTGAAAGCACAAACTGAAAGCTTGAAAAGACAAACTGTGGAAAAAAATAACAAGTAAAAGTGTATTTTCAAAGTTTGCTCCTTTTGTTTGTTTCTAACAGAAATCCAAAAATCTTTATATTCCCAAAGTGACACATCATAGGCTTATAAGCCACTTTAACAGGCCAAGAAGGACAACAGCTTGAACTTTGCCACAGTCATGGTTAACTCATCATTTAAAGACCTACAACTGCAATAGTACCCAGTCAGCCCCTTCTGGGCCCCTGACTGGGAGAAGCATGCCTTCCCAGTGCCAGCCCTGTACTCTACCTACAGTTGAGTGTCAGCTCACAGATTCACAGAATATTCTGAGTTGGAAGGGACCCACAAGGACCACTGAATCCAAGTCTTATGTAAGTGGCCCATAGGGGGACCTGAGCTCACATATCCACTTAAACTGCAGCCAGAAAGGGTAGGAGCTCTGATGACTTCACAAATGCAAAAGAGTCACTCTTCATAGCTTTTGCCACCCATGAAAATGAAGAAAACAGAAAAAAGATCAGATACATTTGCATTACCTTTGAATGCTTCTGCAGTACTCTGCAGCCATATGCATTATAAAAAAACCCAAACAGAAAAAATGGTGGCAAAAAGGCAACCAATACTCTGAAAGATGGATTCAGAAGGCAGCAAGTCAATGCTAAGGATGAAAATAATACATAAAAAGAATTTCATCTGTTTCCGAAGGCTGCATTTCCTTCTTTTTCATTTTTTTTTTTTTTTGTGCTCAACTTGGGATTCAAAGGGTTTGAGATAACAGACTTGACTGGGATGTACTAGACTGAATTTGCAACTGTTAAGTGCTGTTTAGCTCCTGTGGCTTGCCCTGAGGCTCGCCTTCCTGACTGTATATTCCTTTCCTGAGTGTATATTCGAGTCCAGTGCTCCTTGCTCACTGCTTGCAGCACCGCTCATCACCTCCCGCTCATCACCTCCCGTAGTCTGGCTGGGAACATTCCAGGAACAGCCACGGTGATACACAGGGGCTGGCAAGAGGCCAGGGTATTGCTGCTTTCTTTGCTTTATCACACCCAGTAGATAAAGTGGGGGGAAGAAGCAGGAAGCATGGGACATTTGGAGAGATGGTGTTTGTCTTCCCAAGTAACCCTTACCCATGATGGGGCCCTGCTCTCCTGGAGACGGCTGAGCACCTGCCTGCCCATGGGAAGCAGTGGATGAATTCCTTGCTTTGCTTATGTGCACAGCTTTTGCTTTCCCTATTAAACTGTCTTTATATCAATCCATGAGTTCTCCAGCTTTTACCCTTCTGATTCTCTCCCAGTCCTGCTGGTAATAGAGCAAACAAACCTAGGGTTTGATTAAACCTTGACAAAACGGTCCTCCTAATTATTTATATCCTCACTTCAATCTGTTCTAAATAAAAAAAAAAAATGGCCTGCACTAAAAGCAGAGTCCAGCCATCTCCATCTGGGGGCTAGAGGAGAGTTAGGAGCACTGCCCAGCACTACAGCACCAAAACTGAGCAGGAAGAGGTCAGTGCTCACCACAGGCTGCAGGAGCACCAAGCACGTGCCTTGGGGAGGAACGGGAAATGTCTGTCAGAGCAGCGGCTCTGCCTTCTGCCACGCTCCCCTTCAAGGCAGCACACCTGGGTTAGCATGGCCCCTCTCTGTGCCCTCTGCCAGGCCAGGCACTGAACAGGTCCTGCTCCTGTCAGACTGCTGGAGGGAACCTGCCTGTTGGCTGTGCTTGGTTGGGAGCCTGGCAGACTGGCAAGCACCCAGGAGCAAGGTAATGAAGAAATTTTGTACCTGCTAGCTGACTCTGGCTTTCTTTTAAGAGGCAGCAGCCACGAGGTGTATATGAAAATGCTTGCATGTGCTTGCCTTGGCCAAATTTCCTCCAAAAGAAACCCAGGACATGCATTTCTCTTGTAATGACACTGGAAGGTACTTCCTTAAAAAATTTACTGAAAACAAGCTTAAATTAATGTTTGTAAAACAATTTATGCAGAAGGTTCTACCAGAAGTTCTCAAAAGACCTCAAAGCCACAAAGGAATTGGTTTACAAATTAAATGAGTACCATGATGCGTAAAATTAAAAGCTAATGATTTTTTAAATATTTACTAGAATGAACTCAAGTATCATGGCTAAACATTATGCATAGTAGACAGAGCATTCTGACAGCTTCTATTTACAACAGAATTTTATTTTCTAAGGGCTCAGAGGTTTGACACTGTTCTATGGAGTTTTTAAAATCATTGTTTATGATAAAAATCTCCACAAGGTTGTAAGCTGTACTAAGAGGAGAGGCAGACTGAGAGCATCATCTTGAGAAAAACCACAGCACGTTGCACAAGATGGACACTTAAAAAACCAGATGTAATAATACAAGCTAAATATTGTTTTATCTATTTTATGAGGGTCCATCCCTTTTGCTATAACTGTAAAGTGCTGTAATAGATGATATCTAAATACAGCACTTTCTACCATCTAATTTGCTTTTGTTTACAGCTTGACAGTAAATTGCTATGAATGTCAGTAATCTGAATCATAAAAAACAACAAGGCCACCATGATTATCACACACAACAGGAAGTCAGCTGCCTGAATGAACTACACACATCCTTGGAAATGTGGCTTACAATGTTCAGGAAGCACCTGAACTGCTGCCATAGCCTCTAAATCTTCTTCACCTTGACCACGGACCTTGTCTTCCAGGATACTAGACTGAGAGTTCCCATCAACAAGTGCCCAGCTCCAGCATGGAGTCAGAGGCCTATCAATGCAGGCACACTGAGCACCCAGCTGCAGGAAATGCAGGTGTTCCAACTGCTGCTGGGTTAGCTGGCTTTGTTCCTTTTCTGAGGAAAACAGTGTCCTACAACGGAAGGTGAAGATGACTGAACATTTCCTCATTACACACTCAGTCTTAATATATGTATTACACTACTGGCACTTTGAAAGCCCTGTAACATTTAAGGGGAAAAAAAAAAATCATACAACCGTTGCCACGGAAATTCTAGGCTCCTCAGAACAAGAGACATGGAGCTCGTGGAGCAGGTCCAGCAGAGAGCCACAAAACTGATCAAGGAATTGGGGCACCTCTATTATGAGGAAAGGCTGAGGGAGCTGGGCCTGTTTCATTAAGAGATGAACAAGAGGGGACTTCATCAATATCCACAAGTATCTGAAGCAGGAGTGAAAGGAGAGAGTGTCTCACTGGTGCCAAGCAACACAACAAGAGGCAACGGGCAGAAACTAATGCACAGAAAGCTCCACCTAAATATGAAGAAGAACTTCCTTACTATGTGAGGGACCAAGCACTGGAATAGATTGCCCAGAAAGGCTGTGGAGTCTCTCTCACTGGAAATACTCAAGAGGGAGATGCTATCCTGGATGCTATCCTATGCCATGTGCCCTGGGATGACCATGATGGAGCAGGAAAAGGCTGGACTACATGACCCACTGTGCTCACTTCCAACCTGACCCATTCTGCTATCCTATATGTGACAGCATCATAAACATGGTTCAGACTTCCCTTTCCACCTTAATTCTTCCCCTGTAGTTCAGCACATCTGCTTGCATCAATATTATAACAAAGTAAGTTATGAGTCATTACAAATAAAACCATGCTACACCATAGCACTACTCTCTGTGTTTACAGAGATAACTGTTGTGCTGGACTAGGCCGGATTATAGCAGGTTTGTTTGACAAGTGATTTACTGGTATTGTGCTTTTTACCCTAAAAATGCTTAATACAATGTAGAAGTGGCATGTTTTACTAGCAATTAAAGCATGCCCTTAAAAAGAGACTAAGTCAGAGCAAACAAGACAATATTTAACATATTGAGCTATCTTACTGATCCAATGGGGGAAAAAGCTAGTATACCTGCAAAGTTCAGCAGTCATAATCAGACACCAAGTCAAATGAACTGGATATTCAAAATGCAAACTATTAAGGGACAACAATGCAGGCAGATTACTGTTTTTAGCACCACCAGTCCATATCAGACAAAGCTAAGCAGACTTCCAAAGCATGGTGTGGCCCATGCTCAGGGGCAACCAAGTTCAGTCACTTCACCTGGGCATGGATCTGAACTCCAAGAAATCTCCATTTGCAGAATCCAAGGAGCCTGGGCACACAGCCAGCTCTCAGCAGTCCCAATAAAAACTAAATGCATGTTCCCTTTTGACTATTAGACAGCAACCTCTGTTTTTAATAAACTTTTACAGTTTAAAATGAAACTAGTAAGCCTATTTTTTTCGTAATTTACTTGCCGGGCAAACAGAGAGAACGCTGCTCTCCGCTGGCAAGCCATCCCTCCCCAGGAGTGCTTGGCCAAAATGTGCGTGTCCCAGGCCGCGATCCCGATACTGCCCAGTCCTGTGCTCCCCATTTCCGACCCGAATTTCCCAGTTTCTCTACTCCTTTGTACACGTGAAGCCATAAAGTACAGCGGAGCAGGCCGGTCCGACGCACACGCCGCTCCAGCTGTGCGAGCCAAAATGTGCGAACAGCCGAGACAAGGCTGATGTCACCAGCGCGCCGCCAGACCGCCTCCGGGGCCAGCCTGAGCCGCGCACCCACCGAGCTCGGCCGGGCCCCTCGGCGGGAGCACGGCACAGCCCCGGGCAGCGGGGCCTCCTCCCGCCGCCGCCCGCCCGCTCGCACCGCCCCGACGGCTCCCTGCGCCCGCAGCGGCCGGCGGCAGCGACGCGGGGCCCGCGGCTCCACCGGCGGCGCTCGGTCTCGGCGGGTGCCGGGGCATGGCCGGGGCCGGTGCCGGTGCCGCCGTCCCGCAGGTGACACGTGCTGCCCATCAGCCGGTCGGCCTGCCCGGGCCGCCCCATCCCCCCGTCCCGCCCCGCCCGTTACCTGCGGGCGGCAGCTCCCCTTGGGAAGCCGCACTCCGGCGGGGCGCCAGCAGCGCCGCCACAGCCAGGAGGGACAGCGGCACCCGCATGGCGCCCGGCGGGAACCGAGCGGAGGCCGCCGCCCCGCACGCAGAGCCCCGCGGCGCTCCCACGCCTGCTCCCGCCCCGCTCCGCTGCGGCGCCTGCGCCGGGCAGGAAGGGGCGGGATGCCCGGCAGTGATAGTGCGGGGGCGGGCGGCGGCCTGGAGGTCACAGCCGGGCAGCGCCCGGGGGGCGCTGGGGGAAGGGGAGGAGGGGACCCGGCGGAGCCACGGAAGCATGGGTTGGCGGCTGCGGCGGCCCCGGGCCCGGCAATGAGGAAGATGTTGTGCTCCGATATGCCTTTGCTGGCTTTGTCAATGCTCTGTTTGAAGTGCTGCTGCTGGGCCATACCTGCCAGCCCCAGCCGCCTGGAAAGCACCGTCCAGGTCGACGTGTTGTGACTTGTGCTCGCTCCCCATTTCTTAAAAAACACGAGGTGTTCACTCTGCAGAGTGTTCCAGAAACAGCACACTGAGCTCATACACGTAGAGGAATCCTAACTTACACTGGGAGGCTTTATTCTTTCTTGGAAATAACCTAAATGTATATGCAAAAAATTGAAGTTTGCTGAGTGAGATGGAGACCGCAGCTTTTGCCATCTTGCTGTTCCTGTGTATCCCATCCAGTGTCCCAATGCCAGGTGATTGTGTGCCTTAACCTTTCAAAGTCAAGGCCACCCTGGGCCAGATGAGTAGAAGGACACAGAAGAACCCTCCTCTGCTGCATGTCTCTGCAGCTGTGATGAGGATGTAGCAGCTATATAAGCTCTTGTCAGTGATTTTGCAAATTGTGCTTTTTTCAGACCTAAAGTGGAGGCACCTTGGTGGATCCTTGGCATCCACCCGTTTTCTCAGGCTTTCAAGGAGACAGGAAGGAGGAAACAGGGCTACTTGTCAGAGCCATTACGCTTCCCCTTTCCTGTACCTCTCTTTGAAACAGTTCAGCTGCTCTCTCATCTTTATTTCCTGTCCCAAGCATTAGTTCACTCCCTAGGGAAAGGTGTGGAGAAATTGATTTTCTTGCCATTTAATATCCACACTGGAAAAACTCAGGAGACAGCACAATTTGCTGTGTTGGAAGGAATGGAATGAATAGCAAGGAGAGAGGAGGTCACAAGCTAACAATGGAGGCTGAGGAAAGCACCTCACTATTATGGTCTCAGAAATCAGGTGTTCCCAGAGATGATGAAGTGGTGCTGTGGAGTGTAGGATCAGTGTGGGGTACAGAGCTAACATCTCCTCCCGTCTGTGCTAAGGTTAAAGAAAATGGATTGTGAAACTACACTGACTTTGTGTAGCAAACAATTCTCATAGACTGACCTTTGTGCTTAATGCAACAGCAAGCTTTTTACAACCAGCAAGCACTGAACTGCCTTTACTGAAGTACTGAGCACTCACTGGCACATGGATTTCAACTGCCTGAATTAGGTCATGCTTGCATGGTATTTTCTGGCACATAATGACAGGATGAGAAGAAAACGGCTTCACATTGTGGCACAGGAAGTTTGGATTAGATATTAGGAAAGAATTCTACATCATTGCAGTTGCCAAACATTAGAACACGGCTTCCCAGGGAAGTGGTTGAGTCACTATCCCTGGATAAAAGAAGCGCATATGTCACATTTAGAGACAGGGTTTAGTGATGGACTTAGCAATGTTTCAATAACAGCTGGATTTGGTGATGGTAACAGTTTTTTCCAACCTACATGATTTTGTGATTGAAATTATATTTTACACAAAACTAAGTAAGAACAAGGCACCACCAGCCCTGGATAGAGTTCAGGTGTTCTGACACTTGTATCAAAGGTTGACAGTGTACCTAAGGCAGCTGTCACATAAACAGAGCTTGAAAAGGTTGTGGTGTTTTATGAAAATACTTCAGAGACTGGAAAAAACATGAAAATGGGAAATCAATGAATAAAAATTAAGCCAGCTCTGTATGGAGAAAGTAAATATAATTCCACTTATGAGAGCTGTTCCTGGTGTACCCACTGCCTGTGCCACCAGAACCATGTACACAGCTCCTGGCAGGGGGTGTTCTTAACTGTGCAGTCAGTGTAGTCTATCACCACCAAAACATTGCCAACTTGCTCAAATTTATCCTTGTCTTGAAGTGTTACACATTAGGAAAAAAAAAAAGGCTAATATGTAAACTGTCTTGTAACTTCCTCCTTTGCTCTTCACACTCTCAGCCCAAGTGTTCAGTCATGTGCCTCTCTGCCAGTAAAGGTCCTGACAAGATAAACAAGTTCACACATCATGGGACAAATTTTCACAGCCTTTTTGCATGCTTGTTTGTTTTCTTAGCTATCCCTTAGTTGTGTCACAGGGTTACTGTGCCTTCACGTGCATGTGCAGGAGTCCTCCATGTAGTTTTGCCATCCTTGAAGAAGTATGTACAGGATTTTCACCTCACTTAGACTGAAATGCCTGCTGTTATGAACAAAATTCGGGTAATATTTTTTTGTGAGAAAAAGTTACAAAAAAGCAGCCAGACCACGGGTAGCTGCTGAAGTTCTTCGTGTTTTGTTATTGTAATCACGAGTCGTTGTAGCTAATTGCTCCTTTTGTATCAGCAGAGCCTCGCCCGAGGCTAAGTTGTACCTTTCCCAGAAGGGTGGGAACCTTCCCGAACAGTAGAAGAGACCTGAGAAGGTGGGGGGGGCTATGCAAAGTGACTCCAAGACCACAATGCAGCATGGGTCCCCCGGTGTACAGAGAAGACCCCAAAACGACGAGCCACCTAAGAGTTGAGAGACTGGAATGATGTCTGGACGTGAGGAGCCGAGTGCTGAGCCTGCAGAGATGCGGAACGCCTTCGGACCCTCTCGCCCTGACCATGAGAGACGACCCCGGCGGTGAGACCAGGCTGACTGAGCCGGCGAAAGTACTATCTGACGGGATCAGCAGGCCCTAAAGGCTCCCACGAGGACGTGATCCCCAGCTCTGCCCCTTGCGGACAGAGCTGCGCATATCCTCCTCCTCTGAGTCGCTTTGGGAGAGACGACGGAGACTGCAGACCCGTCGAGCCACCCAATCCTGAGCTGATCACTTTCAATAAAGGCATTAAAAAGGAGAAGAAGTCTCCTGGCCCTTGTTTATTTCGCCTGCTGCTTTGATTCAATATCACAGTCATAGCACCACATTTTCATTAAATGCTATCATAAAGAGAAATCACAGACACAGAGAAGCTATGTCTAACCAGAACTTCCCCTAGTGATTAAAAGCACTAGCTGTGCTCACCCTCCAAAGGTAGAAGCAATTAAACACATACACAGCCCCAAAAGAAATAAAATTTAAATGTGCTCATCTGTGATCATTTCCCTTCTAATCATCCCATTAATCTGTTGGGAAGTTTAGTAATCTTCTCATGTATACTTACAGTAAAAATACTGTGTACATGTGTACATGTGTATTTTTACAATACAGTAAAAATACACATTTGATCTTCCAGGAGCATCGTCTCTAACTCTTCAGCAGTCATTTCAAATGCATGCCCAATTTTATTTTCCTTGGCTATCCATTCTTTCTAAATTCACAGTTCCAGGAAACAGAGAACTCCATTGGAGCTCCCTTTATTTTAATTTTAAAGTATTTTTAAAAAGATTTTCCAGTTAGACAAAGGAATGCAATACATTCTCCTTGGCAACAACCATAAGATCTTGATAACTGACTAACTGTGCAACGGCTGTAGAGTGCTGAGCCAAACAGGAGGTATCTGACTCACACTGGCCACTTAAAGTGCTGGTTTTGCATAGTGAAGGTATCATGGAGCACACAATGTGAGCATGGAGCTTGGGAATCAGCAACATCAATCCCTAGCAAAGCAGGCTTCATTCATTCTGCTGTTCATGGAAAGTTTTGTTATGTGAATAGGTGTTTGTTGAAGCAAGCTCTGTGATCTGGAAAGGGAGGAGACCAAATAAACAGTAACTGGAATGAGTCGCAGAGGTAGGAGGTGAAGTCAAATAGATGAAGCAATATAATAAAGTGCCAGTGTGTGTACTGATACCAGCCAAGCTTTCATTCTTTTCCACAAGCACCCAAAGAGAATTAGGCAACCATTGCAATAGGTGTCCTGCAGTTGAATAGGAACAGGAAGGGGAAAATAAAGATTTTCAGTTACTCATTTGAGCACAATGTTAAGCTATTACCCTCGGGTGTGGTTGAGATGGAGTAGGGATCAGTTCAGGATCCCACAGGGAAAGGGATTATTCCTAATCAGGGCATGGTTGGGCTTTTCCAGGAACATAAGAGATCGTCTCGGAGAAAACTCAAATGGCAGAGCCTTACAGAGACGCCTACCTTTCCAAATTTATCAACTTTTTTTTTTGTTACCTTGGCCATTTATTAGATATAATTTGTTTGGCTTATGCTTCTGTTGTTTAAAAATAACAAAAGGATATTTGATAAATTAGTGGTGAGTCAGCAAACTGTCACTTCAGCTGAAGCTAGAACAGACACCTGGTCTTTATTCTATCCCATGATTTATTGTGCTGGGAGACTTGCTGCAATTGAACTGTGTGATAATTAATAGACTATAAAAAATGTTATCAGATACTGTTTATTAATTAGCAGCAGGCTAATAAATTATAAATGTGTTGAATCCAGTAGAGAGGGAAACAGCAACTCCGGCACTTGAGGAAGTAGATATTTTCTGCAGCAGTGCACTGGACTGTCCATGTCTGTGCCAAAAGGATGTTGCAGTCAGGAGAAGGGACTGAAAGGAGTTATTCTGATCAACAGTTGAAAATGGGTATTCTGAGGAGAGGCTAAAAGTGCTTATCTTGTCTAGTCTGGTAAAAGAAAAAGCCAAAACAGAAACATCTCCTCTCTGCAAATATGTTCATAGTTTTTAAGCCAAAAAGTAAAGTTTAAACATAATCATGAAATACAGAATGTTCCTGACTGAATTAAGGCTAAAAATTACAAGAAAGTTTCTGATTTTCATGAGATTAGACCTTGGAACAGCTTCAGACTAAAATTAATGGGAATAAAAATCTAGTTAGTCATAATAAAGTTTGTTTATATTATAAATAATTATTAAAG